GGCCCGTTTCATAGATCAGAGCAGAGAGGAGTCATTCTACGCCAGAGTCGATACTCCTCGCTGGTCCCAAATTCTTTGCAGCAAGCAGAGGAGCAATGCAGGAAGCCATGGTTTCTCAGGGAATCTACAAATTATAGCCTTGCTATCCAGCAACAGGTGACATGTCCTGACCTCCTAAAGAATGGTCTCATTTCATGCTGACATTGGGTGAGTGAGTCTTTAAACAGCTATGAGCTTCACTGACAGTGCTAATACCCCCCAAAAAAGGATACCGCTGTCAGACTCTGGATCTTAGAAAGATTAATGCTAGCACGGTGTCAGCAGCATATAACCAGTCAAAAAACCAACCCAACCCCAAAACAGGGGAAACATGCATTCTACTAGTTCTTGAAATGCTCCTGCCACGGAGATGAATATGAAAGGTACACCAGAGCATGTGTGCTCCTTATAAAACTGCATCAAAGGAGCTCTGGTCCGTGGAGAGAGACCTTATACAGAAGTCCACAACCAGTGAACTCTGACTGACAAACTCTTTATGGTTTCCAAGGAGAATTCAGACGTCAACCCAGGTCTGGTTCGGCCAAGCTCAAAAAGCTAGACCCTGGGAAAAAACTTTGCAGCTAGTAAGTGGAGTATCTTAAAACTTTTTATCCTCTCACAGAAGAGCAAGGAATAAACATCTGAGTGCTGATTTTCAAAATCCATAGTTCCTTTAATATTTTAAATAGAATATACGCTCTCATTTGACCCTCACTGCCAACCAATAGCTGAGCGTTAATAACAAAAGGTATTCCAACAGACGTGCAGGCCTTGTGTATGCCAGAAATATTTGTAGTTACTATCTCTTTCCAAACAACTATCAGGCAAAATCTCTGCTGAGTCTGAAGAGTAATGTAAAGTTTTTCTTGTAGCTCTGCTCTGTCTTCATGTCACTGCCATTAGATTTATATTCTCTGCCTGTAATAGCACTTGAACAATCAACAGACATCTTGCTTTTAGGAAGCTCAGGCTTTTGAGATGTTTTCATTTACAGTAAAATGGTTTCTTTCTACCGTGCATTACATAACTAACCAAAAGAGAAAGACAAGATTAGTGCAAATCACTTCCATAATTCAGCATAAATGAACGTTTCTAATCACTGCTTGGTTTGAATTGCAGTATATTGGAAATGCATCATGTACAGATCAATTTTCTGATGCACCCAAGCTACATCATGTATGTATTATTGACTCTACTGTGAAGCCATGTGGCAGAAACAGTTAAGAAAACATTTACAGGAGACTGAGTCCTACAGTAAATCGGTAATGAACTTGTTTGTCTGACCTATTTATTCATGACCCATAAGTGAGCTTCTGCTTTTTTCTAGTAACTTCTACCATACACATAATACTATAAAGTAATGCTGCACAAACTCAGACAAAATAGACCACTTAATTCCTTTATCAAGTTTTTCATTTTTTGTAACTAACACAAGAAGAGAATTTGCATTGTGATCATTCCTTCTAACCTCTTGATTAACTTCCACTTAGCCAAACATGGGTAAGCTTCCTCCAGCTGAGTACTAAGGGAAAAGTTTAATATCTCCTTACATTCAATTTAGCCTTAGGAAGAGAGCTCTCAGAGAAGTTTATGCAAGATAACTATGTTTTACTTTCTGGAAATTTTTCAAACTGGAAATGATAAATATTCTTTTAGGTAAAATAGACACTGTCTTACACTTTGAATGTCTCGTTTGAGGTGCTTAGAACTTTTCCTGCCTTCACATCAAAGCACCTCCAGGAGGGCTAGGGGAAGTGCGTTATTTTTGATACATCTTTTTTCCATATAGAAACTCAGTATTACTAGGAAGTACTGAATATAACTATTCGTACTCACGCGTGTAAATCCATGTCTCTGAAGAAAACTCGTTAACCTCACCCCATCCCTCTATACCTTCATGGGATCTCTGAAAACTGTTTGGTGCTCTGTGGGCCCCTTTCTCAGCGACCCGACACCTCTCTAAAGTGCCAGCACATTAGGAACAGCAGCTGTACTCACCTATGTTACTTCCAAACCCAGAAAGATTTCAGAAATAAATGAGGACTTTTATCATTTTGGGCAGCTTTTTCCCTCAAGTGTTGCTTCTAAACAGAAGAGCCCAGCCACTTCTTCTCAAATGCCTTCCCTGAGACTTTCCAGAGCACAAAAGACACTGACTCCGGGAGGAATCCACCCACAGTCCTCAAGCCCTTTTACAATCCTCAACATACCACATGAGCATAAGGCACTTTTTTCACACACTGTGCCTCCTCCACCCTCCAGCTTTCTCCGGCAGAAGTGCTGATATGGAAGGACGAGGCTGTGACGATCCACAGTTGCTGTTGTGGGGCTTAGGGCAACACCGAACTCAGCCTAGTGGTCAGAACAGACAGCCCTGCCGTCAGGAGAGCACGAAACATTTCACCTGTAGTCGTCACTCTCAACAGTGCTGCTCCTCATTTTGGTCTGAGCACTGCTGTTTTCTTGAAATGAAATGTGTTAGTACACTGCATGGCTGTGCTCAGGCACACACTGGATTGATACACTCGTGGGGGGCACTGGAGATATTGTTTAAGAAAGCTTACAGGAGATCATGGGAGACTTGAAATTATTGTAGTAGAGGCACAGAAATCTGTAGAGAACCAGGATTCATTAGTTCTGTGCTCACAGAATTTCTCTCTGTGCAGCTGATTCTCCGATTCCAGAGCACATCTTTTCCTTACCCAGCCTAACATTACCAGTCCCTCACCTTATACGCAGTCACCTGCCAAAGCAAGAAAAGCTTTGGAGGACCTAAGTTAAGCAACAATGCACGTAGTAACACTTTTCTCTTTAAATCTGTGGTTCAGACCACTGCTAAAAGACAAAGGAACATGACCTCTGTGCAATACTTCCAGCCGCTCAGCTCGGAGTACAGTAGGCCACCTGGGATTAGGCATTCTTCTGTGCATTGCTAGTGTGCCTGTAGAGCCACATCTACTCCAAAAACCAGAAACAGTGTTTGTTTGGGTTACGTAGGAACATAAGAAAGGAGAACACAAGCTAGTGCTTTTTCCCAGGGATCCTCGCAGCTCGCTCGCTTGCTTGCTTATGTCAGCCTGATGGGGTAAACTCAAGAGGTACAAAAATAAGGTAAAAGAGGACAAATTCTTTAAGACAGAAGTGCTTGTGATACAGATTAAGAACACAGTGTATTATTGATTACTGTGTCCAAATGACATTTTGTGACCACAGTTTTAAGAAAAAACAGGCAGTTCTTGCCAAGAAATCAACTGTAGAGATGCTAAACACAAGTCTGCACTAATTTTTAAGTAAAGGGAAAAAAAACCATTATCTTTTTATATCTCTCTTTTGATGCTGTTTGCTACAGTCACAATAGGCTATAATGCTCTTTCAAATTTTCCAGCACAAAGTCCTAATCTGAGGATATTCTAATGAGGCAAGTCAAATGCTCAACACAAGAATAGCCTGGCATTTCTGCAACGAAATATGACTCTAAGACCAAATCCCGACGTCAAGTTCTACAGGCAAAGGTTTCAGAAACTCAGATGGCTGGCTGTGTAAATGAAGGCATCACACTTTGGCCTGTGACCGCTATCATGAGCGGAAAGCATTTTTGTTTTACAAAAACAAAGCAATCTGCATAATCCTGGCAAATTGGGAAGGCAAATTTAGCACTTGCATCCAGCATTTTGTGCTGCAATTTCCTTAAGGATATTTCAGGCCATTTTATATGCACACCACCTCCAAGAAACTGTCTAGCTCTGGAGCTGCTGTTATGTTTGGCACTGTGGAAAAGAAATGTAAGGTTTATCTACTACATTTAATAAAATATGAAGATATGCTTGCTTCAGGTTCAGAAAGCAGCACATCCACGTGGCAAATAAGAAACATTACTATCTCAAAGCCACTTTGCCCTGTTGCTCTATGCCTTTACGTAGTACCTTCCACACATCTTTCCCTTCCCCAAAGGATTTTAAGGACAAGTCTCTCCAGATGGCTGCCCTCTTCTGGATGGAATCAAAAAATGTTTGATTATTTCCACACAGATAAAATGCAGTGGTCTGCTTTTCAATGGAAGACGATTTAAATTTTTTCCTTGTGTCTCTGTAATCACAAGGGCTACACTGTGCCAGAATGAGATCTATGAAATTCGTAGTTCTCTAAGTAGTTAGCCAACATTTTTTTAGAATATTTAGCCGAGTACCTTTGTTTTGTTATCTTATGAAATTTTTCACTTTTGCATTTCTTTCCTATATTTATCAGTGCTTAAAACACACTGTTGTTTCCTGTAAAGTATTTAATCCTCCTCCACAAACATGATGGGAAACACTTCCATATCTCTTTGTTGCTTAAGGTAAGCACGTTAAACACAGAATATTATGGCTGAAAAGGTTCTTATATAATCTGTTCCTCTACCCCAAGTCAGGGTCAAATATTTCTTTGCTACTCTAGATCACTGTTTGGCTGACCCCTGTTAAAGACAGCTGATAATGGGGACTGCACAATTTTTGCAGGGAACCCAGTCCACTGTTTCACCAGTTAACTATTACTGTTCCTATAGGTTTGTTTATAGACTCATGACATGAGTAAAGGGCTCTAGAAATTATTTTCAAAAGGACTCATTCATCAGGGAGCCCGGAGTTTCTTTCTGTGAGCTCTCATCTTTAAATTAAGTGCAAGGATTAAGATGCAAAGCGGAGAGGCTGAAGACAAAACGTTCCTTAAAGAGAGTTTCAGTTCTTGACAGTGGAACCAGGAAGTTGGAGATTTTTCTCGGTATTATGTATGCACAGTCATACAACCAGTGCACGCTTTGAAACTTTCACTGCACATCTGTGCATCACTGCATGGACTAGGCACCAAGCCAAAGGCTGAATTCCTACGAGTCCGTGCAGCTCCCACACGTTTACAGCACTAGGACCCAGAGGGAGCTTCATTTCTGTGAGTCAGTGCAGCTCGCTGAGCCCTGAGAGCAGTGAATGAGGCTGGAAAGGCAGAGGGAATGTGAATGGCTCTTCTGGCTTGGGAAAGTGTCCACGGACTGGGGTGCTACAGACTACAAAACAGCTTGGACAACCCTCCAGATTCCCTGTACCTCCGGCGTCCAGCGATACTGCTCTGAGGTGAGTGACCCCGCAACAGTCAGTTTTCACAAAGCAAGTAACGTGGCTGTTGCGCTAGTTGTGGAAGTTTGGTATCTTCAAAATTAGCCAATGTGTTTTTGCTCTACAGTGATTTTCGCTCTCTTGAGGAGAAACGGATCAGATGTCTTTAAATATGAAGTGCTCATTGCTTAAAAATAGCATTTGCAAGAAAAGCGTGGTCTAGTGAAACTGAAAATCGCGCCTACTAATGTAGGTTAAACTGCACACGCATCTGGAAGGTGTTCATAAAGCATTTATGTTAAAGCTTAAAGTGTGAAAAACAACTTTAGTAAGAACAGCTTAATCTTAGAGAAACCTAAGTATGCTTCTCATTCTTTTTATCCAGGTATACGAGAACTTAGTTTTATTTGCATTGTACAGCAGTTATACCGATATGAAAATTCTTTACTGTCTTTGTTCTGAATATTAAGGCACACTTTTTTTTTCCTATGATAATTCTACTCTAGATAAGAACTCTTTTCTTTCTTTACTAATATAAATAAATAGGAATTGTGCTAAATCAAAGCATGACTGGCCCAAGGCAGAAACCTTTTCGCTACAGGCAGAGCAGCAGTTCACTGGAGACTCCATAACCTCTAGAATGTCCACTTGGAAAAGCTTACAAACTCCCTGCTGCCTGCCTGTTAGTGACAGGAGGAAACGGACAGCGGTGATTGATTTAGAGCGGGGGATAACACTGTTTTATCCGATACACTAGTGAGAGACATAACTGGGACCCCAGTCAGGGAGAGAGAAGGACTTTGTGTGCCGAGAACAAAAAGTGTTTGTGCTTCAGTTGCTTTCTTCACTTTAAATTCTCCTTATATGCTCAAGAAGTTTTAGAAAAACAGCAAAAGTGAGCATGCTTGTCAGGCTGGTTTTTCCAAGTTGTCACAACTTCGAAGTTGCCTTGTAACTGTTAGACAGGTAATTTATGAATGTTTTCATGCACTAGATTATCACAATGAAGTCTTTTGGGCACTTTTTTGCTAAGCCAAAATAAAACGTGACAATTATCTGCAAAAAGATAGAGAGGAAGCTAACTTGCCTGTATGTTCATACTCTGCACTTTTGACTTGTTTCAGATATTATGGAAAACAGGCTTTTTAAAATAACCCTGAGAACGACCATTTCAGACATTTGTCTGAAACTCGGAAGGTTACGATGTTTTCCGCAATTTCACAAAGAGGTTACAGTGATGGAAAGAAAGAACCAGATAAACTGGAGCATTCACATCAGTATGACAAGAAAGATTTGGCCTTTAAATATATTAATAATTACATATATGAATAATTTTTTAACAAATCTTAGAGCAAGGTCTGGAGAGGAGCCCTCCTGACAAATCTGTGCAGTAGAGTAAGAGTTATTTCACATCTTGATCAATCCCAGCCGCTCACCCTAAAGGGATCTGTCAGTCTCACGATAAGGTAGTGAAGAAAGTAACTGGCTTTCTTTTTCTCATCCTCTTAGTGTCCATTTTCTCAATCAAAAGCTTAAATTATCTTTGCAGATGTCTTCATTTAAGTTCAGTGGAGAATTGCTCATATTGTTGCAGAGAATAACTAGGCAGTCTATGTAATCACCAAAAGGTGTCAATTTAAAAATCAGGTTAGAAAAATACCTAAAATATGTATTCCAATTCGCATTTTCAAGTATAAAATGTCTTTCTTTAATGGGATACCTATAACAAGGGTCAGATAGGACACATTTAAAAACAAGATTATTTCAATCAATAGAATAAATCCCATAAATTCCCCTACTGCTCCATGGCTTTGGCCATACAAAAATGTTCCTTTAAATGCAAATTCTATTAAATTGGTTTTCTGCTTCTTTATAAAATGCTTTTAGGAGTAACAGAATATTGAATACATATTAATTAGCATTAATAAACTTAAATTAAAGGCATGTGGAAAAAACATTGGTGATTTTAAGAAGTTAACAGTATTCTGACATTTTTTAAGTCTATACTTTAAGAAAAACTCTACTGATAAAAAATAAAGCGTTAATAAAATTAATGCTTTCATCCCAAAAATTTCAATATTCTAACACCAAAAGTCAATGCTCGATTGGTAGGTTTAGAAATATTTGTCTATCCTTCAAATCTCACTCCAAGAAAAGCTAGTGAAACCCAACTCCTTTCAAACTGGCAACAACACTGGTGACCTCTGCTGGCAACGGCCCCCTCGTGAAAGGTTGTAAGGGCTTACTCAGAAAGCGACCATGAACTAAAACATTTATTAGATCAGCTGATACACTTAGAGAAATGTAAGATAACGCCTCTTCCCATGAAACGTGCTTCATGGTAAAGAAAGTGAAAGGCACATGTAACAGTGCTACTACAACCGCATTTCTTTCATAGTAAGAAGGCAACTCTCCCTGTGCTGAATTTGACTTCAGCCTCATCACAGAGGCCGATGTATTTAAGAGCATTTCTAGGACAGAAGCGTCTCCCACTCTGGGACAGATGTCCTATGGGATGCGTGTGGCTTTTTCTCCTGACACAATGACCTTTGTATGGCTCTGCTGAATTCATTAAATATTTGTGTGTGTGTGTGTGTATTTATACCAAAAATTATGTGGCCAAGCAAAGCAAGATCATTTTTGCTGTTGCCAAGAGATCGTACCATCTATTAATGTGAGTTATGTGCACTCTTATCTGCCTGGTTCCACTAATACTAAAGCTACATAATTTAGTTGGTGGAAAGAGAATCTCAGACCTTCGATATAAATATACATGACCCCCACATTTTGAATACTGCTTGTAGTTCTGGTCATCATTTACATCTCAGAAAAAGAATATAGTAAAACAAGAAAAGATGCAGGATGATGAAAGGCCTGAAACATTTTCCATATATAGAGAAACTACACAGATTATGATTTCTAAGTCTGGAAAAGAAATGGCTGAGGAGGGGTATAATGAAGATATTTATAGTCATAATTATCCTTGAGATGTTAAAAAAGGAAATGGCTGTTGTCTTGTCTCCCAGTTCAAAAACTGAGGAGTGGGAAATAAAATTAGCAAGCGGTAAGTTCAAGGCAAACAGAAGAAGGTTCTTTTCTCCATGCATAAGTGAGCTATCGAATTCCTTTCCACAGGATATCGTAGTTCACAGGGGTTCAGAAAGTAATCAGACAAACTAAAAGCAAAGACACTACCTGTGGTTCAGGGAATCTGTGATTCAAAAATGACTGCTGCGCGGGAGAGTACACCAAGGAGATGATCACCTTATGGTTGCCCTATTCGTACACCATTCCCTAAACGTTATTAGCTACTGCAGGAGATAGAATACTGACCTGGATGAACTTCTATTCTGGTACAGAAACCTTCTCCTCAGTGTTTCAGCCTGCCAAATACTTGACCTATCCTAGTAAAAAGAAAGGTGACTATGTAATATTTACTATGGGTTGCTAGTTTGCTGATGAAAGAATGGTGATTCTGGCAAAACGAAGAGGTAAAGATGGCATTCTTTCTTTTTTTTCAAGAATTAGGTATAGGCATGTGTTCATGTAAGGTTCCACTACAGAAACACATTAATGCTGAGGTTCACAGCTATTCAGGCAAATCAATGTCTGAATAGATTATGACCGAGATAATGGAGAAAGGCCTATGAAAGTACATAACTGGTTGATCTTGTGAAATTCACTGAAATATACTGTAAATGGGAAAACACAATTTTATCTGATATCTTTGTGGACTGTTTATTTGTGGAGCCGACACCTTATTTGAAACTCATTACTGAACTCAAATCTTTTCTACCTGCCTTCACTAAAAATACATACGTCTAAAGTAAAAAGTAGCATGGAAATATTACATCATTAATTACACTGACAAGATACCTTTCACTTTGAGAACTGCATCACCCTGCAAAACACAGCAGTCCAGGGCATGGCAATGCAAACAGCGAAACCTGAATGCCAAGAACCACCAGCATATTCTGAGGTTGAAAGGCAGAGACATGAGATGTCAACCCAACTTTGCTAATCTATCCCCAAACGTAGCTGACTTGCTGTTGATGCATTAAATGTGTTTTTCAGCCTGTAGCATGTATTAAGAGACACTGCAATTATGCAGAACTTCCTGTGCATAAAAGTGGGATTTTGTGCCTGCAAATTTTGCTTCTCTGAGATTATGAAGTACTTGCAAATGAGTTATGACGTACTGGAACAATAACACCTGGCACTTGTAAACAATTACGGGGATACAGGAGAAGGGATGAAATAAAATTTAATGGACACATAAATGAAGCCATAAGACACTGACTGCACTGGCAGAGAGTCGGGAAGTCACCAAGGATATACAGAGTCGGCTACAGCAATTCGCTAGTCAGCACGTCTCTGACTGCATCAGCTCCCCAAGAAGCACACCCAAGTACACCACACCGCACAGTTGCTTTCATGTGTTTAGAAGAATGAGAGAGAAAGATACAGTACTTGATTACCTTCAGGCCTGCTGTCCATGTGATGGTATGCATGTGAAAGACATTTAGATTACACCACTACTGTACAGCAGGAGAAAAGAGGCAAAGTGCGTCTCAGTATTTTGAGCCTGCATACAGCTATTAAGATGAAAATTGCTGTATGCATGTAGAAATCAGGTCATATATATATATATATATACATGAACAGGACTCCTCTGGCATATTATCTAAATCCAAAATTAAAATGACTGCATAAGATAGTTTGAGTAACACACTTAATGGCTTTACTGCCAGGTTTCTGTAGCATCGTTTGAATTTCCTGTGCCATTGTTCAGTGAACGAAACACCTCTGACTCTTCCTTATCTTGGAGGCAATGTTTATTTACTTTCTTCTTTAGTTCCTAGGCTCTTGCATTTACAACAATCCTTTGGGATTTTATGGCACAGTAATTGACACTATCAGATGACCCCAATCAAGATGTATCAGACTCACACTGTCTGTTGCTGGGATCAGTTTTATCACATGAACACGGCTTCTGC